CCATAAGGGCTCTTTTGGGAGGTGACATACCGCTCAAGGAGCTCTCAGATGCACATGTATCAAGGTCTAAGGCCTATCTACTTTCAAAGAATGATAAAAATCAACTGCAGCATTGACGTTCAATTAATAAAACTGCAGCTATAAATGGAAAACAGGAATCCAGGCTATCAATTAACAATTGATAAATGATGCCACTATAAAATAGCCTGGGGACTGCAACTTAAAGTTTTACCAGTTACCATTTCAACTAAGCGAAAAAAAATAAAATATGTTCACCGATATCTTCTATGAAATAGTCTATAAGATCATGGCACATGGTTTGCTGGGCATTAAATTCTGAAGTCTTACTAAAGCAATTGGGAAAGATCAGTTAAAATACGAATGTGACAATGCAGGTTCCTAGAATAGAAAATGGAATAATCAATGCCTTTCTTTGCATAGCAGCTCTTGGATGTGCATGCATCAGCTACTATCTACTTATAACATTCCTGTAAAGAGATAAAAGACTACTTAAAGAAGAATTAAATACCTGTAATAGTCATTAACGTTTCTCCCGCCGAGCTGCTCCTCGCCATCGCCCTCAACCTCACTTGGCGGAGACGCATTTATGTCAAGCAACTTGACTGCCCCAAGTGTCCACCGCTTCTTTGGCACCTCATTCATGCTGCACTCAGCGCAAAGCCAGTCCTCGACCGCCATCCCTTGCTGCCGAGGCCAGTACCTCGCGCAGCTAACATGGAACCCCCGCTCGCACCCATCGCAGACCAACGTCTCCCCCCGTTTCTCCGGCAGGCCGCACAGCCCACAAGAGAGTTGCCGCCCGACCCCAGCCTCTCCGGGGAACTCAACCGCAGGCCGGTCCATGGCCGGGAGACGCCCGTGTATCCTACAAACCAGGGAGTAGGCGTCCTCAACCGGAAAATCGATAGGAGTCGGCTCCACCCGCTCCGGTGGGACGGCGGCCGGCGAAGAAGGGTCGCATGGCGTAGAAGGGATCTCATTGAGATCGATGAACAGCGGATTGGGGCGCTTCAGCGCCGAAAGGGGAAAGGCGGCGGGATCCATCATTAGGAAGTAAGTTTGGGCGGCATGTTGACAAACTGAAGGACGCGATTTCTAGGGTTTTGTTTTGTTCTCCAACGAGATTACGAAGTGGGGTAGCAATTAAATCCAGGAGGGTTTAGTGCAGTGGATTTGAAGGGAAGGAAACACGGGGCAGCGGAAATGAGAAGACGAACAGAGATGAGAGCGAAGCCGAGACGAACGCTGTTTGCTCCACGGGTAGAGAGAGAAACAGCGGCGAGCCGCGAGATAGCGACAATGGGGATTCTTATGTCTTCGTATTAAATTTGTGATTATGTTTCCTGTTTAGGGATATGACCGGATTGAAGAAATGTTGAAGTGGGACGCAATGAAGGTGGTGGAGAGGCCAAAAATTAAGTTGTAATATAAATAAATAA